ATCACAGCTGTGTGCTTTCACGACTGGCTTCTTTCATTCTTCATTAAAAACATTCAAAGAATGGATGGGCAATATGGCTCAGCCGAAGAGCTGGGAAGAGCACAGCAGAACAGCAACAGCTCTCGGGTTGTTCTCAGGCTCACTCACACAGCACAATGCTGAGAAGAAAGGACAGCATATTTAAAGACTATGGCTGTCCTGGGGTATCATGAGATGAGCTAGCGCGCTGCTCACAGGCAAGGGTATTGAACACCTCATTGTGTTAGTCAGATTTGTGACACTGAGAATCTGAACTGAATTCCATTTAGCCACTGTTAATTCTGTCTTTAATTCATATTAATCCAGGTGTAATGCCCAAGTTAGTTTTATATTTAAGTGGTTCAAAACTACTTCCAGGAAAGATAATTTCAATGTGTTTTCTTTATCTTCCTAGAAAATTTCTCCCAAATCCTGTATTTCACAAGTCTCAGAAGAGAAGACAATGAGCATCCCCATGACAAACGTAAACAGATGTTCAAATGCATGTTATTATGAGATTAAAGTTTATGATTATTCAATGTGCTGCCAATTATTAGAACCAAAATTTTTCTATTGGATTAAAACAATAAAATCTCCAACTGTTCTAAGGCTCACAGCTTTGGGTGTTGAGACGTGTTTTAGGATTTTCAGGATGAATATTGATTTTCTTTAACCACTAGAGAGTTATGGACTCAGAATCAATGACCACACAGAAGAATCTTAACGCACTGGGGGTAGGTGTTAAGTGGGTCAATGTGGCACGTGGGGGACAGGTCTCATTAGCCCACTGTTGTCACTTACGCACAAGGGACTAAATAATGCAAGGCTATTTTGTTTAACTTGTGATAAGTAGACCTGGAATACTGGGCCATGAACAAAGAACCCAATGCAAACACAAAGTACCTCAGACTCTCCGTAAGACCTCAGGCTGGGATCTAGCTCAATGCTAAGGGTGACTGCTTAGCATGTTGGGGAGAGAAAGGGAGCGGACAGCAGAGGAGAGGAGGGGAGAGGAGAGGAGGGGAGGAAAACAGGAGGAGAGGAAGGGTGGAGGGAGAGGATAATTCAATCAGTAGGTTTGGGTGTGAGGCCTGAAATTCTGCATTTCTGAAACGTGCCAGCCGGTGACTCTGTGTGGTAAAATCCTGGCACACTGGTCATATTCTTTGTCTGGAAATGAGACTTGTAAGCCAGAAGTTGAAGCCTAGGTTCTCTCATTTGGTTTAATGTTATACAGTTATGCAAATAGAAAACTAATTAACGTAGTCAACTATTATCTACTTACATAAGATATAAATCTGGACCAGGTGATGTATCAGGTCTCTTCGGTACTATAAAATGTAAAGATATTAAGATAACCCTTACTTTAATTTGAGCATTGTCTTTTATATTTCCCTTCACAAGTGTGGGAATCGGAAGGTTTTATTGTACTGCATCACTCCAGAATCTTCCCGTTTAGCTGTTCTCACATTCTTTGAGTCAAGATGATAATTATTTCTGTTTTATGTCCATTTCTCACTCTTCCCATAATCCTTGGAACAGCCTTCAGACCTGTAAGGGAAGTTCTTACGTGTAGTTGTCTGTGGGATCATGCGTTTCCCAAATGAGATGCAGCTCCTCCTATTTCACATTATTCAGAGAGGCTATAATCTTCTTAAATAGAGATGAACCTCTGATTAGAGCCAGGCTCATCAAATGAATTCCTGCCAGTGTGTCAAGGGCTGGCAATAGTTTCAAGCTGCAGTTAGCAGGAGGGAAAAAAATCCTTTCTCTACTCTGAATAGATTTTTAATCTGATACCTATTATTTATTCCCAACACAAATATCTTCATTAGAACTTCATTAACTTGTCTGGACTACTCATTGTCTGCCAGCTGCTGTTGTATCCCCAGCCTTCCCATTCCACGATACCCCAGCACAGCCTCGCCAGGGCGGTGCTCCCAATTTCAGCCAAGCAAGCACTTGGTCCTTACTTAACATCCCCTCTCAGTGATGTCAGTCTACCCGGGACTCAGGCTGCTGCTAGCTCCCCCTCTTCCAATGCTCATATGGTTCCTATGTCTGTGTCTTTGTTTACACACTTCTCTACCTAGAATACCCTTTTTCTGTACAACTCTACTCCTTTTTGAAGACTTGAATAGCTCAATACTGTTTTAAAGCATCCTGAGTCCTCTAAGATTCCTTTACTACTTTGCCCTCAACTCTTTGCTCAGCACTCCCTCCTATTCATGTTTGCATATACTTTATTCTTGGCCCATCCTATACAATTCGTGAGGATCTACATCTTTTTTTTTTTCCTCCTTTTTCCTTTTCTAGCTCTCACCATCATTTTTTATGATAGTATCCATATCTGTTAAGCACGTGGATAGCTTTAGGATTAACCTGTAATTCAAGATGCTCTGATCTCCCAGAACTCTAAAATTATTATTTTTAAATTGTTTCATTATTTTATGTGTATAGGTGGCTTGCCAGGATGTATTTATGTGCACTACCTATGTGCAGTGCCTCTAGAAGTAAGAAGGGGGCAGCAGGTTCTGATGGAGTTGCAGAAGGCTTTGAGCTGCCATGGGATTACAAAACCAGGGCCCTCTGCAAGAGTGGCAATTGCTCTCAATTGCTGAGCCATGTATCTATTTTTTTGACATTCCTGATACTCTTTCGTGCTTAGAGTTCATCACTGGAAAAATCAAGGAGATAGGTTTTTAACCTCTAGGTTACCAGTTCTTGTGTCACTTTTAAGGATTTCATTCTTCAAATACATAAAGCCATAGCTCAAGCTGTACTATTCAGATGGTGTAGGTTAAATTAATGTAAATACCATTTTTGTGTTTATACTTCTTTGATATCTTTGTAGCATATAACACAGCCTCATGGCAAATAATGGTTCCATTCTGAGTTACAGAGTTATTCATTGTAAAGCAAGAGGGTAACAACAAACTAAGAAACCATGTTTTGCAATGGCAGTCCTTCTATCAGTTTAGAAAAGCTTACATGTGACTTTTCTTATTGACCTGTATTCCCAGTAAAAATAAACTCATTGTATGCCTACAACTCTTACAAGAAGAGCTGAGCTGAAACAGCAAAACAGTGAAACAGCAAAACAGTGAAACAGCATGTCGAGACTGATGACAGAGATCATGACCAAGATAGTCTGTGCCTTCGCTTGATTTACCATCTACCTTATGGCACAGGCATTTATAATTCAACATGCAAACAAAAGTTCAGGACAAGGAGATCTAGTGCAGTGGTCCCTGCTGCAGTATACAAGATAATATCAAGGAAGGGGAATACCAATTAACATTTCTTATTTTAATAGATGCACACTTATGTCCCTAGAAAAATATAATTGTTCCCTAGAAAAATATAATTGGCAAAGGACATTTATTACTTCATAGTTATCCTTCCCTGAATCAACTTTCTGTCTCATATAGACTCAAGTTTGAAAAGTCAGAGCCTTAAAGAGGACTGACGTTTATTAACTGCAGTGTGGGTGCTGTTGACAACAGTCATGGTGGAGCCCTGGGAAGCTTTTAAGGCTGGAAAGACTGGGAGTAAGTGATGGTGGTTCTGTTTCAGCTCTGTCTCTAAGATACTTCTTTCAGCCAAGTCACATGCTTTTCATCTGCTTCTTATCTCGGTGAGGGTTAGGGCATTGCTTGAGTCACTCTTCTGTGGTTTGTGCTCTCTGGTGAAATGCCATTATGAAGAAGGGCCACCTCTGTAAACAACAGAGAGCATTCCAATCCTTAACACAAAGAAGTCTTACCTAAAGTAGCCAGGAAACCAGGGACCTAATGTGGAGTTGTTTTAAGGTTAGAACAGTCTGTAAGTCTTAAAAAGATGGGAGATAACCGTGATTTTGTTTAGCGATGTTACTCTTTTGGGCAGTGGTTAGATGCTAGATATCATTGGTTTCTCTCATCAACACTGCAGCCAAATAGATAATTCAATGTTCTATAATCATATGTGTTCCTTATGTGTTATCATATCCATTCCTATATGAGAAGGGGAAAGTTTAATGTCTGTGATACATCAGATTTAGTTGCCTCCCCCAGCCCCGTTATGAAGACAAATACAGTCCTATCCGATAGAGAAAAGACAGATGAGTGCTAGCCTGAGGTAAGATCAGCTAGATGAGCCGGAAGCTTGGTAACTTTAAATAGCATATATTGTTTTACATTCTCACACTGAGAATAGAAACTGTTAATCAGTTAGACATTTCCAAGGGTAATCAATTTTGAATCCAAATTAGCCTTATATTCTCTTTACTAAGCGACCTTGTGTTAGTTCTCCTCCCAATGTCTGAAGAATGCAAGTTCAACAGAACTCAGCTGTATACCAAAAAGTGTTCAATGAAAAAATATCCACCAAGAAATAATATCATGGTCAGATCTTACGTTTTTCTAAAATGATATTCATAATTAGAGGTTCAAACTTCTTTTCCCTGGAATCGTCATCTTTTGTAACAGTCTCACAGCAGATGGTCTTCTAAAAGGCTATTCTTACTTTTGACCCAGTCTACAGAGCAGTCAGATAACCAGGTACACTGAGCATTTGATGGTGATCATTACCTTTGCAAATTTTGAAGTAAGGACTTTGGAAATCAATTAAGGACTTTCTTTTTCTAGCTGGAATACTTACATCTATTTGGTTCAATAAGCAAATGAAAAAATGCCATAAAACCAATATAATCTATTTTGTGTGGATAATCCACTTGCTATGGTAGAAAAAGGAGGAAAGGAAGAGAGGATGATGAAAGACAGGAAGTGAGGGAGGAAGAGAAAAACTCGCCAGGCTGAGAAGCTTTTCCCTGTGGTCTCTAGGGGCCAGACTCGTAGAGCATAAAATACATACATGAACATAGAAATCAGACATCTAGGGTACCAACTTCATTATCTGTTGCAATTTCCGAGGCCCTTTGAAAGCTGTAGCTCCACAGTTCCTAGCTTTGTACAGTCCTTGTTAAATATATCTACAGATACGTTTGTTTGTTTCCCGGTTACAGTGAGTCTCTGCCATGCTGTGAAAGGGTGTGTGCACCGAGGGTGGAACCCTCCTGAAGCAGGTCATCACTGCTGACTCAGCCTCCTGCAAAGGATGGCTGTCAGCCTCTGCCTGGCCTCATTTACTGAAATGGCTCGGCCCCTGGGTGGATATGCATGGGAAAGGGAGGGCAGTCCGGAGCTGCCGACCTTCTTGAGCTTCTCAGGGGTTGGGGAATCCGTGGGTTTTGGCAGTCCACGCAGGCTGGGCGTGCCGGTGCCTCGTCCACAGTTCTGTCTCACACTGCTTAGCTCGCGGTGATTACCGACTGCCGAGGCAGGGGAGGTTAGGGCACCCTTATTGAGGGAACATGGTAAGTTTCCTCCGCTCCTCCTGAGCTCCAGGAGCTGTTCTTTAGCTTGACTCAAAGCCTCCGTTAGTTCAAAGCGTTCTTCACACTCTCTGCGCACTGTTTCCTGGAGAAAAGTGTTCTGAAAAGAGATGAGGAAAAAGCACCCCTGGCTTTAAACAGTTTATGTAAGTGGAGCGTTACTGACAACTTAAATCAGAGCTGAGCAGCAGGTCAGAGGCTGTATTCTCTGTCTTTTTAATACTCTACCCTATGAGACAGAGAAAGGAAAAATTGAGCGTGGGGCTGGAAAGGATGCTAACAGAACGTTTAGTTCAGCCCTTGCCCTTTGTAGTGAGGTGGAATGACAGTCCAGCGTAGGGTGTGACGGGGCAAAGTCCTCATTTGTATTTATACTGCATACACACATGGTCCCCATTCCCATATTTTAAAAAAGCTATTGGTCTATTATTTGCTTCTGCTTGTTTTTAATTTTTAGAGGAATTGGCATTTGTGGCTTTGTCGTCTGGCTCTCATCAACTCCACCTGAATGGGAAGTCAGGGGTGGGGGAAGCATCAAGCTGCAAGCAAGGAGGATTAATTGATAAGGTGCTGTGTTAGATCCATCACATTTATTGCTCCTGACATAGTCACCATAGAAAGGCCCAGATGCCACGGTCGGTTACGTAACTTGTTGAGAGCAACTGGGCCCTGAAGTGGTAGAAGCCTGCTGCCTCCTAGCCCTGTGCCTGTGTGAGGCGTCTACTTCATTCACATTGCAGGCACACACACTTCATGTCTAGGACATCAAGGAGATAAAAACTGGTAAGATATTTTCATCTGATTTTCCCAAGAATTCCAAACTCTATCGATTTGACCATTCTTTTAAAAAGGAGCCTACTGTATTATTTATCTATTTACAGTATTTATTTATATGTATAGCACTGTATACATCTATATTTCTCTATACGTATATACATTATTAATCTATACATGCAACAAGCTGGGAAAATGGGTAGAAGTAATCAAATTTAAGTTGTTTTTTAATTAATTACTATAAAATACCCCAGCTTAAGAAAACTTTGAGGAGTCAGTTTTCACACACACACAGAGAGAGAGAGAGAGAGAGAGAGAGAGAGAGAGAGAGAGAGAGAGGATATGTAGGAGTAACAAGTGTACAATATGAAAAGTCAAGAGATGGGGATGGCAGGGGCACTCATTAGAGAAAAATAAGATCTAATCAACTCACTGCACTTGAATTTGAGCCTCAGAGGAAAGTAATACTCTACAGAAAACACACCCAAGGCAAGTCTCTTAGAAAGTGGCTTCGGGCAAGTGGCAAAGGGACTGGAAAGGTAGAGCAAAGAGAAAGTCCTCCTCTGCAGCAGGTGCAGCTGGAGCCAGTGCGGTGCCAGCAGACTTTGGGCTGTACTTTCCAGCCAGCAAGGGCTGAACCAGCCAGCTAGTTCTCAGCTTGCACATTCCAATTCCTCCTGGCCACCGTCCAACTGAGAGGAAGATCAGTGAGTGGGGGTGGGAGAGGGCTGCTGTCTCAGCATGAGGCCAAACACTCTGCAACTCATCCTTCAAGACTTTTAGTCTTCAGAACAAAGGATTAATTCTCTTTCTATTTCCCAAACCAGGGAGGCCTCGGAACTGAAGACAGGATCCACAGTTGGGACGTTCACCTGTGCCAAGACACTGATCTCTTGGGTGGATATACTAATACCCTCATTTTCTCTGCTGACTTTACTGTCTTCCCCTAAATTAATACTACAACACAGTTTTGTCCAACGAATAGTTTAGGTGATACAATTTCTTCAATTATAGTGCAAGATATAAAAACAGAACACTGGAGAGTTTAGGAAATTGCTATTTGAGGAGTGGAGTGTGCCAGCACACTAAGAGGACACGTGGACGTGACACAGCAGACACATTTGTGGAAAATTCCATCCTGTGTGAGGAGTGTCATGGCTGAGGTTGTATTGTTTCCAGAACTTAAGCAAGAGTGCTGGGGTATGCAAACTCTTTTTGTTTGTCTGTTTATCTGTCTGGTTGGTTGGTTTGATTTTGAGGCAGAATCTCACTATGTAGCAGCTCTGGCTGTTCTAAAACTCACTCTATACTATCTAAACCTCAGACTCACAGAAACCACCCTCTGCCTCTCTGCTTCTCTCTGTTTCTCTCTGTTCCCCCCACCCCACCCCACCCCACCTCTGCCTCCCAAACGCAGACACTAAAGGCATATATGTGTTACTACATCTGGCTGTGGCAGACTTTTAATATGTATTTTTACTGAGTAACATGAAAATATATGTAAGCTAGAGTATGCTTGATGAGGCTGGAAATCACATTCAACATGAGAATGACCAGGAAGGCTGCTGTCCTCTACACATTTGAGATAAAATGCTCTTGAGCTACATTTTACCATAGCATGGTCAAGTAATTGTTGCTGGATTGTAACAGACTTGGAAGTCAAAATGAAATGGCAGGCATGCATCAGGTAAAGAAGGCAAAGTGGGGTTTCCAAGCAGAGGGGGCAGCAAGAGACACATCCAGGAATGGAACATGGTTGCTAGCAGGCTCAGCTTATAGACACAGGAGAAGAGATCAGCACTGAGGTAGGAGGAAGTGAGCGAGTCAGATAAGGAAAATCTTGGCAGTGTGTTTTTGCTGGAGATTTTACTTGGCTCTGAGAGGGCCAGCTGGATCATGGGAAGATACTTCAAGCAGGGCACTGGCACGGTCATATTGGCATGAAAAGCAGCATACCAGGCCAGCTTTGTGAAAGACATGGCAGGGTTGGGTAACAGGCAAGATGGGAAACAGAGTATAGCAGGGACTAAAGTTTTTGTAGAGGAGGTTCTGCCCTGAGCCCTGGGTGAGTGTGGCCCTGGGTAGAGGAGAGAGAATTACTGCTCTGGTCCTAAAACCCATCCATTGGTGTTGAGCACTGTCTATAGCTGCCTCAGACAAAAGGCTGCTTCAATTGGACTTACAATAATTAATTGCTTAATTACCCTCCCACTAAGTTGGCAGGTAGAAGATTAAAATGTAAATTAGCTCATTATGTACTTAAAACTTTCTAATATTAAAAATGGCCAATTTCCTACTTTTTGAATGTTACGAGTGACTGGTTTATATTTGTATTCATTTTCACCCTTAGAAACAACTGAGTATTTTCAGTTGCAAACACAGAGAAGAAGCAAGAGAAGGCTTTGCTGGGTGGCCTAATCATTGTGAAGGTGAGAATCCTGTTGTGGTGTTTCAGAATCAGGTGTATTTGGCATAGCTGGGCAGAAGTGGAGGATCCCAGGAAAGAAGTCTTCATTGAAGAAGCAACACAGATGGCCTTGTTCGTCTTTTACACTACTGAGGTCCTGACCAGTCACAAGATGATAGAGGACACAGTTTCTGCCAGCTCTAACCAGATAGAAGTCAGGAAAGTGGGTGTCCAGCCAGCTGGGTTGGTGAAGGAAGTTCTGTGGACAAGGTGTGGAAACTAGACAGAGTTAGCAAAAGATGTGCCCTGCCTCCATCCAGTCAGTCAGCCCAGCACAGCAGGACAACAATGGAAATGGCTTTTTGGTAAACTAGGAATGAGAAACTAAGTAAAAGTTTAGGAACCAAGACAATTAGGCAGAAGCATTAAAATTATATACTCATCCTTGCAAACACAATAAAACCAACTATTGTAAGCTTCTCAGAATAAAAGTCATAAAATAACAAAATCCTTCAGAATAATGGCCTTCAAGAGCCAATTTTTCAAGATGGGGGAGAAGAGCCTAAACAAACATTATTTAGGATTTCCTCTTCTAAATCAACAATACAATTTTAAATCTTGTCACCATTAATTAAGTGAAATGAAGCAATGTCTCCATATTTCTTCCCAATGTATCACTGTCCTGCCATCTTCCTTCTTTACAAGTAGAGATGCCCTTGCTGAGCCCACATCTGCGCATGCTCCATGGCCAAATTCTTGGGTTCTCAGCTCATCTGTCCCCTCTGTCAGCCAGCCAGGCCTAAGCAGGATCCTTAAAAGCTTTACTCTTTGAAAGAGAAACTGACGCTCCAATTTCATGCCTCAGGGTCTCAACTTGTTTGATAACTTACTGACCAGACTTGGATTTCTTATCTCCTATACAGAATTACCAGAGAGGAACATGCCATTTTGTCTATATCAATTACATACGTATTTATTACATATGCACTTGAAGTAAAAACATATTCCCAAATGAAGGGAATCCCTTTTGAAAATAAGCCATTTGAGCTTGCAAATGCTACGTATTCATAAAATTCCACCTTATAGGTTTACATAAATCCATCATCACTAAGTTTTATCAAATGATCCTATATAAATGTTTTTTGAAACAGATTTCATATTTGTAGCAGATTTCATATTTAGATATCAAAAGGTTTATATCACCCATGATCCCAATATTTTAGAAGGTTACACAAGATCTCTATTCAGTTCTTCCGACTCCCCACAGATCACCACTGTGCTAACAGTTTGGAGACACATTCTCTGGAGTCTGCAGCACATAGCTTCAACTTGTACTTTCTTTTATTGTTTCTTAAACAAAAGCAAACAGAGGATGCTGAGGCAAAGCAACCTAACAATAAAAACAGGTGTGTTGACGCAAATACAGACTGACAAAACTTCAGCCACAATTTTGACATTTGAATGCTCTAAGAAGGGAAACACTGCAAGTCAACACATTTGGTGACTAAATCTGGCTGAACTAATTATGTATTCATTTATTTCATATTAGAGACAGTTCTAAAACATTGTGTGGTCTTTGGCTGTTTATGATTAAAGAGTGAGTTCCCAAATGACATGTGGTGTGTGTGTGTGTGTGTGTGTGTGTAGGGTTATTGACTAGCATATTTCTGAGCTAGTAGACTTGACATGAATATAGCCACTGTCTTAGATATCCCGATGGCCAGCAAACATGGGCTCTTCTAAGTTCTTGGTTGTCTGAACCACGGGAAAGGAGTTTGTGACAAGGACTGGCTGTATCCCACTTGTTTCCTACAACTCTTGCTCTATTCCTTGCTCTGACGTATTTTCATGCACAGTGTCTTTTTCATTCTGCTAGAGGGAACATGTCAGGTGTCTTTCTAGGCAGGTGGGTTATGATA